AAGAAAAATAACCTTTAATTTTATAATAAACAAACAAAACGAATAAGCGAAAATAAAAAACAAAAAACGCAAAAACAAAACAAGCAAATTAAAGCAGATGTTGGAAGTGAGCACCATTTGCACGAATACAAGCTTCTGCTCTCCTGAGTAATGAGTTACTGACGCTATTTAATTCTTCAGGATCGTTTCGAATCCGTTCTGCGGCCATCATAACTCTTGCTTCTAAATCTTCTAAATTATTAACTGGAGTTCGATAAACAATTGATTTCATATAACCCCATAAGTAGTAATCACAACTGTTAAGATCGGGAGAACGGGGTGGCCAAGCGATGGGTCCACCTCTTCCAATCCATCTCTCACATACTAGCTGACGGGTCTTCTTCAACACGATTGATAATGTGCTCTTCAATGTTGACCATATCTGGATCTCGACCTCGTCCGATCTCCTGATTTTTAGGTAAAACTGATCCTGTCTCCCGCAACCTATCCACGGCTGAAAAGGTTTCGCGATACGGTTGTCGACGCCCAGGAAAACGTTCAGCATACCGTCTTGCTGCAGCTTTAGCATTGCCTCCACACTCCCCATAAACAAAATGCATGTCTACATATTCTTCTATGCTGTATTCTGGCATTTTTTCTCAATGAGTATTACTGACAATGACAGTTATAAATCTAACAATAATATTTGAAACAATTTGAACAATGTTAGTGTATCTCGGTAACTAAGCAACGATGCTTTTTTTTAACGATTCCCTTGATAGATAGAAAGCAGATTGCCATTCCTAATTCGTTGCTAAGTAACAATAGAAATTTTAATAATGGAACGTATTATTGAAAAATTGGCCTCCATGCAGTTCCAAAACGGTGTGATACCTATTTTTAAGGCGATTTAAAAGAAAAACTATACATTTTTGAAAAAAGTTGTACATAGATTTTAGATTTCTTTTTTTGTAATGCCTTTGCTCTGAAAGTTTGTTGCAAGCATTTCCTAACACCCTGTATACAGTTAAATCCATAAGGTTGTAACCACTCGTTAAATTGTAAGGTTGGCATTACAGCCAATAGTGTTTTTCACATGAACAGATTGGTAACGGCGCATGTGTAAAAATTTGACAATTACGCACGAGAGAGTTTTATTTAAATATCTCACAGTTTGTTATTAAACCATATCATTATATACAGGGTGCCGCATCCAAGTCTGGATATAGAGAATTAACATGCGAATTGGTTTTTATTTTATAATATCTCCCCAGATCACTTTAAAGCTATTATTGAGTGATGGCTTTGTGGAGGTCGAAGAGGGCTATCGGCCAGTATTTTTTTCAAATCGTTGCATCGCGCTCATTCACTGTAAAAAGGTTTTAAAAATTGTATTTTGAAATTCGCGCCCGATCCGAATTGTCGCGAAGTGTTCCGTCGTACTGTCGAAGTTCGGCGATCGCGTATTTTCATTACCCATGCAAAATTCAAATGTCAAAGTGAAATTAGAAATTATTCTCATCAGAAATCAACGAACAAGTCAAACTGAATTATTTTATCCAGTGTGATGATTATTGTAGGACAAATTAAACGGAATAAATGCACAAATTGATCCATTCATTCGTCATAGTGCGCGACCCCGTCAAACGAGCCATCTCGAACTACAATCAGACTGTATCCAAAAAGCCCAAGATGAAGACTTCAAGACTTCGAGCAGCTGGTCTTCCTCAAAACCCCATCAAAGCCCATCGGCAGCATTGCGACATTTTCTGGGAGCCCTCAAGCTAGGAATGTACTCGGGCTGCTTCACTCAGTAATCACTGAACGACTCAAATTGAATTATTTTATCCAATATGACGATTATTGTAGGTCAATTTAAACGAAATAAATGCACAAACTGCACAAAATATTTTATTAGGTTATGTTGCTGGTGCTGATCGAGTCTTTATTACTAAAATCTCATTAAAATGCCATGTTCTACTGCGATTAGATGAAAAAGCGAGGGCCCGCTTTTCTTATTGTGTGATGATAAGATTTACCATCAAAATAGCTGGCGCTTTTGAAGAGGACCTTTTAATGAACCATTTAGATAACTACAAATAACAAAACTTAACAATTGTTGATGAATGAAGTAGGTAATGAAATATTGTACGAATCTGGAGAAATATTGCACTATTTTCAAGAATTGCTCAAAAAGACTGCTCTCAGCAGCTGTACAGTAAGTAAGCCAATCTTCAAAACTCCTACGCGTGTTGATCAGCATTTTAGTTGAAATCTGAAGACAATATTGCTGGATTGCTTGTTTCAGTGCTTCTCTGTTTGTATAGCTGGTATTGTTTGAATACAGATGGTCGTGAAGAAATCTCAAAAGAAAAAATTCCCAGGGATTTAGATCCCGCGAATGCACAGACCAATGGGCCGGTGCAAACTTTCCATTCCAACATTGCGGAAAAATACTGGTTCAAATAAACAACATTTATGCGAACTGTATGGCTGGAGATTTGGTCCTGGATGTAAAAGACCTGCTGCAGATGCCGCACCCTTCGAGTCCCAGGAAGTATTTGCTGAGCTAGCATATTATCCTACTTCTGAGCATTCAATCCGGATTCGATGAAAAAAGGTGCAATGACATGATGTCCTAGAAGCCCCAGTCATACACTGACAATTGCACGCCATTGATAACGAAGGTCATGGACCACGTGAGGGTTGTGTAATGCTCAAATTTGATCGTTCTGACGATTATAACTTCCCTTAAGACCAAATGAACGTCAGTAAAACAAATTTTCCTCAAAAACTCTCCATCAGCCTAGATTCTCTAAAGCGTTCCTTCGTAAAACTCTATATGTGAGAAGTAGTCCCCAGGCTTCAATTTTTTGTCATGATGCTTTTTGAAATTCTTCTATCTCATCTGTTTAAGACCCCTAGAAAACGTCGTGCCCACCTGATTTTATGTAATTTTTATCACCTTTGAAAATAAATGTAACTTTATTTTGCGAAATATTATTTTTGTTGTTGTTAACACAATAAACAAATAAAACAGTAATACAAAAGTTTCTGAATCCCAAAACACATTCGTAATAGAGAAAAATACTTTAAAATGTTGATGAGTCAATGTTCTACATTTCTCTCTCAAAAATTTCCTGTAATGAAGATGCTTCCTGGAGGCAAAAATCCATCGCTGCTTAACGAATGTAAAATCAATTGACTTCCAATCTTTAATGATTCCAAAAAAAAGGGTGAAATTTATCCAAATTACCTACTAATTAAATTAACTGTTGAAGAACATGCAGGCCCCCGCTTTTTCATCTAATCGCAGTAGAACATAACATAACCTAATAAAATATTTTGTGCAGTTTGTGCACTTATTTCGTTTAAATTGACCTACAATAATCGTCATATTGGATAAAATAATTCAATTTGAGTCGTTCAGTGATTACTGAGTGAAGCAGCCCGAGTACATTCCTAGCATGAGGGCTCCCAGAAAATGTCGCAATGCTGCCGATGGGCTTTGATGGGGTTTTGAGGAAGACCAGCTGCTCGAAGTCTTGAAGTCTTCATCTTGGGCTTTTTGGATATGGTGTGATTGTAGTTCGAGATGGCTCGTTTGACGGGGTCGCGCACTATGACGAATGAATGGATCAATTTGTGCATTTATTCCGTTTAATTTGTCCTACAATAATCATCACACTGGATAAAATAATTCAGTTTGACTTGTTCGTTGATTTCTGATGAGAATAATTTCTAATTTCACTTTGACATTTGTATTTTGCATGGGTAATGAAAATACGCGATCGCCGAACTTCGACAGTGCGACGGAACACTTCGCGACAATTCGGATCGGGCGCGAATTTCAAAATACGATTTTTAAAACCTTTTTACAGTGAATGAGCGCGATGCAACGATTTGAAAAAAATACTGGCCGATAGCCCTCTTCGACCTCCACAAAGCCATCACTCAATAATAGCTTTAAAGTGATCTGGGGAGATATTATAAAATAAAAACCAATTCGCATGTTAATTCCCTATATCCAGACTTGGATGCGGCACCTGTAGAAACAAAAACAGTGATTTACAGTTTTCAAAAACAAAACAGTATGTAATAAGCCACATTAGACTCACTGGATCGTATGTTTGTTGAGTGGTTTATTTGTTTTAAAATAAATAAACTATTATTTAAGCAGATTTGTTTAAACAGCTCTAACTGTAAACAACATTTGCTAGAATATTCATGTCAAAATATTGAGATTTATGTCTCTATGTATTGCTTTATTAATATCTACATCTACAGAATATTGGTACAGTATAGTTAGTCATATCACTTAGAAGGACAAAAGCATTAGAAAAATTAACTAGAAAATATCATTCTTGCGGCCAAACGATATCTTCTATCCATTTAATATAATTTGAAATTCTCACATAGACTCCTGGACTGCCGGCACAACCTCGTCCAAACGATGTTACACCTATAATGTCGTACATGCACTTTATCTTATTATCAGTGTGATATATTTGTAAAGGACCACCAGAATCTCCCTATAAAGAAAGTTATTTAATATATACTAACTACAAACAAACGTAATTAGCAAATTTATTAGGTCGAGAACAAAATTTACAACATCAGAACATTTAAGGGTCAAATTCAAGTTGGTCATTTGCGCTTACGCAACCGTAGATCACATAATATGATAAAATTATTTAATTTTGGTAAGGTGTTGTAAAATGGTATGTTTTTTTTTTGTCTGACACACTGTGTTTAACCAGGTATCTTTCCCAAACACAAAATGCCAAGAAGCGCGGGCATTCTTTACAAGTGTAAACATAGTATGTCGGACGAAGACTGTAACCAAATCGTACTAGGTTCTAGTGAAAGTGATGGTGCAAGTAAAGAGAGATTACACAGATAGTTAATGCAAATTTTGTAAAAAAGTACACATAACTGCTTATGGTTTATCTTCAGGTTCTAATACAAAATAATGGGAATATTCAGACGTAAAGAGAAAAAAATAATAACTAACAAATTACCTGACACGTGTCTTTGGTTGCGTCCACAGAACCGGCACACACCTGGAGATTGTCTAGAATACCTTGTGACACTTTCCTATAGTTCTGATAATATGCGCCACATGTACTTTGATCAAAAAGATCAAGGACTACTTTGAGTAAATCGTTGCTAGTAGCTCCATTAAAAGATGTGTGGCCCCATCCTGTTGCAATGGCTCTTTTCTTTGTAATTTTTGAGTCTAAATAAAGACATGCTGGTCTTGAGTACGAATTTAGTTGAGCCTCTTTTTCTAATCGTAGCAGTCCAATGTCATGGTAATAAGAGTTCGGCTTGTATTCAGGATGAGGTATCCGCTCAGATATCTTAATTTCTTGTCTACGGTACGTTGAGTTGAGATTGGTTACACCAAGTCTTACCCACAGCGCATTGCCTCTGCGAAATGTTGAATACTGTATATAGGCATCCTAGATAAAATTCCGCGACCTTATAGCTTGATAATGGCTAGAGATATTGAAATTTTGTAAACGCCATTGTTTTTAGCTTGAAAGGAGAAGCTTAATATTGTACACTGAAAATATGACGCACGTATTGCCATATATTGTCATGGAAACAGATGTGTCAACAAAATTACATAACTACTGTTAATTTTTAACGGCAGGTCATGTGAAGTCAGGTCTACTAGAATAGTTTTTGCTGCATACTTTAATGTTTAATTTTAAAAAACATGTACGTACGTATCATGAAAATTAGGTCGGTAACTAAAGCCGTAATCGATGACCAGTTTGTATCGCAGATATTGCAAAAAAACAATTGTAAATATGATAACTATAAGAACTATGCAAAAATACCTAGGAAAGACCTAAACAATGGTAGGAAGACTAATAAAGACAATTATAAAATTATGGGGTCCAGAATTCCAAATGCATCGGAGGCAAATGTCAACGTAGCGGTACGTAAAATGTGAATATATTTAGATAGAGTGGTATTAATTAGAAACGTTGACCAAGTAAAACGCCATTTAAATTCCAAATTTTTCGACAGATCTTTTGTCATAAGTAGAACCTCAACCAAAGCGTGAGGAAGCCCGGAGTTTTGCTTACAAAGTGTGAACCGACATGGATTTATTTATTAGATCAAATTTTAGAACCCATAAATTTGGCCTAGTTAAAAAATTTGTGTTTTTCGAGAACGGCCTGAAGCCGCTGCTAACTTCAAAAAATAATAACAAGCAAAAAGTAAACTCCAATATCATACAGTAAGTGAGCACGGAACGAAGTTATTTGATTATGTTACAAAAATGTACGATGTATAGGTAATAAAATGCTGCAATTGGAAACGTACTTAGAAGAACAAAAAGTTAGTATTTTTGTGTCTGTGAACACTAGCTTCGTCCAGAAGAAAAGCAACAGTATAGTTTTACAAATTACACGCTCTCTAGTGTGTTTTGTTGTACTGCAGCGCAAAATGGCGGAGTAGGTTTTTTTTTAAGAAATCATGTTTTTGCCAAAGAGCTGTTTACCTACTTACTCAGTTTTGTAGGTTGTCTTTGGATATTTTAAGAGTCTACTTTTCCAACGAGGACACTATATGTGTCGTAATATTGGTAATCTATCGACCGTCACTAGGTAGTCTCAGCAAGCTGTATAACGTATTGTGGTGACTGAATTTAAATTAAAATTTCGCGCTGATAAAAATTAACATCGGCGCGAAATCGTATTTGAATAATTTGAATTTGAAAAAAAATGCAATCAAGAAAATCGTTACACATAGGTAATCATGTGCACGTTTAGTTCTTTTCTGGTAGCTCTAGGGAATTTTAGTGAGAGTGTTGGTAGAAGTTGGCTGGTTTGGTATATAGATGAGTCATTTTGTTCGGTGGCGTCACTTTTTCTTTGTTTGTTGTAAGTGGAACATGCAGTAAGTAAGTAAGGAAGATAGGTTAATTTTAGTTGGTTTGGTAGTTGATAAAAGAGAGTAAGCCTTTGTTTAACGACATTTAATCGAACCGATTGCGATGCCACAGTTTTCCCCAACACGCGTAACTAATTCTTCTCAAGCGGAAATAAGTGAATTTTCGACCGACGCTAACACGTGTGTAATTTTGTTTTATTTTTTGTAAATTCACAATTCATGTTAGGAGTTTAATCGTTAACTATAACTAACACAATTTAACAACTAGGAATTTGTTTAGATAAACACTTGCTAGGAGATTTCATGAAATTCACTTAGTCAGGACTCGTTCTTTGTTTACCAGGTAATAAATTAGGTTTCTAGACGCTTATACTTGAGTGTTACATTATAACGCTTCTTAATTCCTCACACAAGATTGCTAATAGTTCATCTATGGCAGTTAAACCAATCTAACGTTGCCCCACTCGGGGAAAAGGACCGTGAAAGTGGGGTACGGGGGGTTTAACGATTTCTCCTCTTAGGCAGTTATTATCATTATATAATCATCACATCACCGAGATATTTTTCTCGCAACGTGGATAATTACATCACCATGGAGCTTTTCTCGAAACGCCTGATACAGTTTGTGTTGTTTATTCATCATGTGTTTTGGTTGGGATAAGCTAAGGATAGTTCACGATATAAACTCTCAAAGCTAATGGTTTTAAGTAACTAATCACTTGGATCAAGGCATAATTTAACATGAATTCTTTGTTTGAACCGTTGATAAATTGTGGCATAAATTAACATCAGGTGAATTATTTGTTCTGGCAGCGGCCATGTTGAAAGAATATTTTCAAACCGAGCATAATTTTGACGCATCTTTTGTTTGAACGAGGCATTCGTCCGACGCCATTTTGAACCTCCAGATTGCCTCCCATATTTTTTATGTTTGTTTGGGGGAATGTATAACAATGGTCCACAATGCAGCTGAATAACTTCACTTTTAAATAATAAAATAATAAAAATAACTCGAATGGACATAAAATATTGAGTTCATGTAATTTTGTTAGCTTTGCAATTTTTCACCTCATACAATTATTCTCTATCTCACCGTTTTAGCATCAGTAATTTTCTTTGCTGTATAATTTAAATTGAATGTAAATTTTCATCCTCTGCAATTTCTAACCTTCCGTAATGTTTTTCGTCTGCACAAGTTTTACTTCACACCAGATTTTTTTTTTTTGTTTTTATAAATCTTGGCTAGTTTTTTTTTTCTTGTAAATATTCTGATGTCCAATTTTAATCTCAGATAAGAAGTCTTTGCTGTTTAGAACTTCACGAGAGTGTATTTATAATTATAATAATTTATAATTTATAATATAGTGTATTTAAATGTTGTTTATTGCCCTTTTTGAAAGTTTAGCATTTGTTCAGTTGTAGTTTAATATCAGAGTTATAGGAATTGAACATTTAAATGGAATTTAGGTTAAATAACACAGAAACACGTAGAGGAAGCGGAGTGCACTCTGGTGCCGCTGCCGCATACAGTTGTATTTAAATTTTGTTCTCTTGTTGACTGCCATGTTTTTAAATCTGCCGCCACACTTCAGTAATAACTTGTGTGTTTGCAACCAGTTGCTCTAATTCAGATGTTTCTTTGCTTTTATTAAATTTGTGATATTCAAATATTTGTACTGATTCAGAACGTTTAGTTTGATTTCATTCAAAGCTTTTTTTTTTGTAGCTGAGCATTAAGTGGTGTCTTCAACGGACGCAATTTAGTCGCAGCTTTTTTTTTCTTTTTTTTTTGTCATTTTTTTGTTTCCTCCATGTAAGTATTTGGTGTTTTATTTAGTCGTATTTTTCCAGCCTTGGGGTCCACCATTTGCATCTGAACGCATCCCGCCGTTTTTCAAAAACACAATGTAGGGTTCCATTTTGTCAGACGATCACAGTCAAGGCCACGATACACTTACACCGGTATGCTACGTTTTGAACCAAATTAGACAGACTTAGCGCATGTGACGTCACTTCGATGCAGCTCGGCCGTTTCTCATACCTAAGCGAATATAGTGCAGGTCTTATTCTTAGCATTTTCTTTTTTTTTATCTTTTCACAAATACAAATGTCTAAACGGACACTTGACTTTACTTTATGGGGATGTAACCGCACATGTGCACCACCGGAAACAATAAAATTGCCTGTTTGACCACTGTCATCCCCATTCATTCTCTTAAAAGCTGTAATACAAATAACGAATTTGCCCTGCAGAAAATCAGTTTCAATTCAGTGATCATCATGCCTAGTTGTGCCGTATTTAACTGTAATAACTGCAACAGAAAAAAAAAAAAAAAGGGAATAAAATATTTTAAATTCCCTAAAAACCCTCAATTTTTAAAACAATGGGTGAACGCCTGAAAGCGGCAAGATAAAATAAATTTTAAAAATGGTAAATATATATTTTTTATTGCATGACAAATATTTTGGAGTGAAATCATTCGTAATTTTTTTAGCTTGTATTTGTTCAATTCATTTTGAACCAGAATGTTTTGAAGACTTGACAATTAAACAGAAATTAATGGGATTGCCTAAAAATGCTAGAAATCTTAAATCTGACGCAGTTCCAACCTTATATCTCCCAAAAACAAGAAAAACATCATCATCCGATTCTGAGAGGTCACAACGGCTTAAACGAAGAAAAGTTATAAATGATACTGACAATAATTTACCAGAAACGGTGACTATTACTTCTCCCACATCGCCTCAGTCGCTAAAAGAAACTGAATATATCGAGTTTACGGAAAGTATTAGTTTAAAGATGGGCGCACTTGTAGAACATTCGTGTGAAACAGGGTTTGTTTGTTTAAATGTTATAGTAAAAATGACATCCTACTTAATGTTTATTTTAGGAATGAATCAGAAAAACAAGAAATTTTGCATTTAAAGCGAGAAATTAATGAACTCCGTAAAGAAAAGAACGAATTAATACACAAAGTAGAGAAAATGGAAAAAGAGCGTATAAATATGGAAGCAAAACTCACAAAATTTTTGACACCCGGTCAACTGAAGCGTGTTTTGAATCCTGACAACAATTATCTACGATGGTCTGGCGATGACATCGCTTCAGCAATATCCTTGCGGAGTGTGAGCCCAAAGACTTATCGTTATTTAAGAAGCAATGGATATCCTTTACCTGCTCTTTCTACTCTGCGAAAGTGGGCGTCATCATTAACTCTTGATCAAGGTATTTTAGAAGAAGTTATGAATTTAATGAAAACGCAATCGCATCAGTTAAAAGAATCAGAAAAATTATGCATCTTATCATTTGACGAAATGTATTTATCCAATAGAATTGATATAGATAAAACGCAACAAAAAGTGATAGGCCCTCACAAAAGCTGTCAAACTATAATGGCTCGTGGATTAATTAACAACTGGAAGCAACCAATTTTTTATAATTTTGATCAGGCAATGACTCCAGATATTCTCAATAACATTATTGCACGTCTTTATGCTGCTGGTTTTACTGTTGTCGGTATTGTTAGTGACATGGGCACTAGTAACACAAAATTGTGGTCAAAGCTTAATGTTGGATACGACAAAAATTGCTGGTTTCAACATTCCGGTAACGAAAATTTAAAAGTATTTGTTTTTGCCGATGTGCCGCATCTCCTTAAGTTGTTAAGAAATCATTTAATAGATGCAGGATTTTGGATCAATCATATTCTGGTAGATAAAATTTGTTTTGAAAATTTGTTAGGGATTTCAACAACAGAGCTCTCCATAGCTTATAAAATAAGTAGATACCATTTGGATTTAAAAGGTTCAGAAAGACAAAAAGTAAAACCAGCTGCCCAATTATTGTCAGAAACGACGTCAAAAGCGATTCAATTTTGTGGGACACATAAACTGATACCATCAAAGCTTCCTTGGAGAGAGGTTGCAGAATTTGTGCACATCATTAATGACTGGTTTGATCTTTTTAACTCCCGTTCGAAACTAGAACAAAACGATTTAAAAAAAAGTGCTTTCGGAACAAATATTGAAAATCAAAAAAAGCTCCTGCACAAAACAACGGATATGGTACAAAAGATGATTGTAGGGAAACATAAATCTTTAATTCCGTTTCAGAAGGGCATTATTTTATCTAATCACTCTTTGGAGCAATTATTTGATTATTTAAAATCAAATTATGAGCTTGAATACATCCTCACGGCACGACTTAATCAAGATGTATTAGAACATTTTTTTTCTTATATTAGAGGAATGGGCGCATCTAATGATCATCCTCATCCTTTGGATTTTAAATATCGGATAAGATGGTTTATTTTAGGTAAAAATTCTTCCGCAATTTTTACTGAAAACAAAAATACTGAAGAACACGAGGAAAAATGTTTGGTTAAACCTTTAACACAGATAGAAAATCTGATTGATGATGATGTAGCAACCTGCCTAACACAGTCTATGTTGAGTAATTTAACAAATTTAGAGACGCCAATTTCTAGTGAAGAAGATGTGATGCCATATTCATTTACAGAGCCAGATTATTTCGAAGATCAAGAACAAATTGATTCTTGCAATGACAATCAAATAACAGAAAGAATTAAATGTAAAGGCAAAATTCATAATGAAGCTTTGAAATATATAGCGGGATACGTCGCTCATAAATTTAAAAACAAATTTGAAAATCTGGGAAGTCAAGTTATGTGCACATTAAACATAAACGATCAAGTGGGAGACTGGATACAGTTTTTATCTAGAGGTGGTCTTTTGAGTCTTAGTTCTGAATTACTTGAAGCTGCACAAATTATGGATGTTGAATTTGATGAGATGCATGGTTCATTTATATCTAAAGACACAAATATATTTACAACGCTAGCAAACAGGACTCAGTTAAAATTAAAAAATCAATTACCGTATGAAGTACTGTACTGTTTGAGCAGGACACGAACGTATCTTCCGACTACGGGAATTAAATAAAAAAATTAGTTTCCAGAATTTGCGAAATAAAATGAAGAAAAAACTTTCAAAATTTACCAATGGTAAAGACAAATGTCATTAACAATAATAATAATGATTTGTAAGTTTGTAGTACTATGTTTGATATTATAAATTTTTATTTATTTGTTAGAACTTGTTTTATTAGATTTGAAATAAAAAAAATTATAAAATATACATATCTCTTACAATTAGTTTTAATTAAATGACTTATCTCTGTTTTTACTGGCATAAATAGTTGACAAAAAATGAGAATAAGTGCGTAACCACTACAGAGCGCTTGAGTTTCCCGTCCACTTGCATCGAAGTGACGTCACGCTCCCGAAGCCAACATGCGCGTCGGCATACCGGTGTAAGTGTATCGTGGTCAAGGCCAAATTTTTGAATTTTGAATTTCCAACAAACCATTGGATCTGCTGTATCATAGTTTTATTCTATCCGAAACTGTTAATAAACCAAGGAAAATAAAACGAATGCCACGCACATGTTATGATAATATTATAATTTATAAATAATTTAAGTGCTCTAGAAATAGATTGTAGACAAGACATTTATTGACCACCTTGGTATGCTTACACTTATGACCTTATGAGTTATAAATCAACAACACCTAAATCGACCAAAGTCAAGAGGTGTTGTATTAGATACAATCTTCTCCCTGAGGATAAGTTATAGTTTTTTCTTGTTATACAGCGTTTTACCAAGAAGAATGTTTAAACGCGACAACGCAGTTCGAGCACGAATGCAATACAACGTTTTGTCCACAATCACAAGCCCAAATTGAAATTCATCGTGTCGTTTTGTGAAGTTTTGTGTTCACTGTGAAGAATGCCAGTGCGAACACATGCTCTTATATTACTGCTTTAAAACAGTTCTTTGTGCATAAAAGAAACTGGTAATCTTTTGTTTCATTAAATATATTTTTTTTATATTTATGAATTTTATTTTATTTTATCTTTTGAACTGAAAAATTAAGTAACATCTAAGTGTTTTATATAAATTATTCTAATCGTGATTTAATGATCTACCAAAAAGTGTTAAAAAATTATACATTCACCTTCAAGCTGTAAAAACAATGGCGTTTACAGAATTGCAAAACCTCCATCCTTTTTGAAAGTATTATGCAGGGGAGTTTTAACTGGGACACTTGTATTTTATTTCTCATTAGTGTCAAAGTTGATGGGAGAATGAAAAGGGAATACTCTTAATTCATGAGAAATACAGAAATACTCAATGCGAGCTGTGCATCGTAAGTTTGATGAAATAGTCAAGGGTACCTATTTTTACTTTATCACTTTGAGGGAAAATGGTAATTCTGAAACACTGATTTCTAAATCTGGTGCCATTGTTTTTAAATGTCGTTTTTACCACAGTTGAAACTACGTAGTATTAAAACTTCGGTTAATGTCTACTAAACAAATTTTGATACACTTGCTCTGTGTTGCACGCGAAATATACTTACGCATTATGATCAGACAGGCAATGCGCGGCCGTTAATACATATCTTTCGCTTAAAATTGTTCCACCACAAAGCCATTTTATTCCTTCGCCAGGTGAATCGTAGCCTATAGCTGCCTAAAACAAACAATAACAAATTTAAAATTTATCCTCACGTATGTTTCCTTATCTACCAAGAATGAAAAATACTGCACGTGGGTATCTCATATGTTTCGCTAATGATGTTTTCAATGATTTTAGAAATGTTCTAAAAAATTTCTTGAAGGAGAAAAACGTATTAATTTTACCGTGTTCGCAAAAACGAATGCGCTTGAATTAATTTATAAAATTATTATATGTATTTATTTAAAAAAAAACAAACTTTTTTAGTTCGAAATGATGCTAGAAGAAAGCATTAATCAATGTAATAAATGAAAGGAAACTTGAAAGCACGAAACACTCACAGATATAAATATTTGAGTATGGTGTGATTTTCCTTAGTATTTTGTATTAATACGACGTCGATAATTTATGAAACTAACAAAATTCGAAATTTATTACCATATGTGGAAATTCCTTTCTTCCAGCTGCTTCGCCGCCCACAATTAATTTGGTTACCTGGTGTCCACACTCGTTTCTTGTAACTGGTTTGGCATCGTATAGTGCAATGGGAGGTACTGATGTTTTATACACATATAGTCAGGATCACGAAGCAATGCGTACACGTCACGGACTCTGTATGACATCATGCGTCTACCACGTTTATCATACAAATGAATCGGTTTGAAAACTGTCAACAAACATGTCGGCTTGTTATTGTTTTGGTTTGTTCTATTTAGGATTATAGCATGAGAAGACCGTTAGTGTGAAGCAACAGTTAAGAAATAAGCTACACTTGCAGTGTTTCAGCACACAAGGGCATGCTGCAGGCTGCACAGATGCTATGAATTACAAACTCAGGCACAGGAAAGATCATGACTGTAACCCCTTTCACGTGTTCCTAGTCACTGAAGCCTGCCACTCACGTTCCAACGCCGCGGCACAGTTGTGTAGGATATGACGAAATTGAAGTGTTTTTGAACGTCTGTGTATGCGACAAGCAAATCGGTTGGATGTGGATGGTTGGTGAAGAAGTCTGTGTACAGCAGTACAATCGTGTTGTACTGGATGGAAATTTGATCGTGTGGACAGTGTACGTTATACAAACCGTGAAAGCAGGTATAAAAGTCCATTTTCTTCGGACATGTTGCCACCACGATCGCAAATTTTTAACTGCAAGGTTGTAACGTGTGTGTACTGCTGCTTATCAGCAGAATTGTGCAGCAGTTGTATCTAATACAATTGTACCCCGGCGTTGGAACGTGAATGACTGGCTTTAAGAACGTTCATTTTTGCATTGACTGCTGGTAAAAATTGACAATTGGGTGTTAAACACATACTTGCAGGGTGGTACAAGGCTTCATACTGTACTTAAAGCTACCAACGAGAATGTCAACATACGTTTCAAACAGACAGCATTGAATTGTTGTGACAGGCTTCAAGTTAGAGAAATATTCTTACCGTCTTCAATGCCACAATGGCCACGTCACATCTACAGAACAAGTTACTTTATTGACATGGAACAGATACAAAAGTAAACTATAAATAATAATAACTATTGATGTTGCACAACGTCTTCGTCTGACCAGTGATCTGTATATTTGGCCAGTGAAGTGATAGTGTGATTATAAAAGACATCAGCAGAACATGCCGCTAGTACAATCAATTAGGATGGTAATGGAAAATAACCTACATGTTACAGTGGCTGAATGCCCTCTGCAGTATTAGAATCTTCACTGTCATAATCACTAAAACTATAATCTGAATCTTCGTTAATGTCGATTATAAACGGCACAATCTCTTCACGGTCAAATAATCCCACCACTCCCGTATTATTTTATTCATATGGTCAACAGTATTTTTCCACATTGTGGGCGTGACATGTGCTAACGCTTCTTTCCACATTTCCACGGAATTTTGTTTGACCATAACCATCACGCCCAATGTGTTTGGAATAATAATTTGTAGTAATTCCCCAAATATTTTCTATAGGGTTAAACACACAATGATATGGCGGCAAACGCAATACTCTATGGCCATTCTGTTGGCCTAATTCACGGCAACATACGTTTTTGGATGTTTGTTTCTGAAAAACATGATATTTTAAATGAAATGATAGAGAATAGTATATGCATTACTGTGCAACCAAATGATGAAGTTCCGTTTTTAACAGCTATGGATCTGAACTTATGTCATATTGTTAAAGCCGTTCACGAATTTCTGCTTTTTTCCATGAACCATTGGGACATTTGTTTGCAAGGGTACTGTGGTAGCTTGCATTGTCTATAATAATCAGTGACGGTTCTTCAAGATTCATGAGTAACTGAAACTACTTGAGAAAATTCTGTTGATTCATTTCGCCATGATAGTCTGGATTTTTGGTATTAGAAGAAAATACCAGCGCTGCTTTATCAATAAATCCATTGCTTGTACCTACATGTAATACAATATATCTAAAATATAGTGAGAAGAATAAATAACCAACGTGAAACTAACACATTACTAACTTTTCCCTTCTATTTTGAACGTCCTGATACTTTTGACACTATCGTCTTGCCATGGACCTAACTACCGAACCATTTTCAAATATCCATGTTTCATCAAGATCACATGGCAAAGGATTTGGGTTCTGCTGATTGTGCATGTATTCACGTAAGAAGTTTGTTTTTGCATGAATAACATGTAATTCCATAAGACGCTTCCGTACACTTGTTGGAGAATAACGAAACCCAATAGAGAATGTAAAATTCTTCCTAAAGAGCTCAGAGAACCCTCAAATATATGTTTCTTCTTCAAGCAGTCAAGTAATGACGATCGTGTAACATGTAAAATAATCGTTAGTATCTATAAGGCGTGCGCATCAAATTCATACTTTTTTCGACCATTCCATATAAGCATTCTCGAATAGCACACTGCTCCGAAGTGCTAATATCACACACTTGCTTTGTTCGGGGGTCTCTATTTCTTGGGAGAATGTACACCTTCTCCGGTTTTTATTTGTTGTACCACGGAGTTCACTGTTCGCACACACACACCCAGAGTAGCAGCAACCCTCTGTACAATGTGACTGCATTAGTAATTGTAATAAAATACACCTACTTACGTCTTGAACAGCTGTTAGTGGTAAAAGAGGTCCCCCGCTATCGCGTTCTTTAGCAAAATAGTCCACTAAATTAGCGACCATTTGCTTTGCACCTTTGTGCAAGGGCTTCGGCATGGTGGAATGTTTACGTTCAAGCAAGCGACACGTACCACGGTATACGACAGTTAACTTGGAGTTCTAAAAAGAACTGTTATAGTTCTGAAAAGAACTGATACGATTACACGAGCAGAAAAGTAGAAAAACGCTAAAAATCAAACAATAACACAACATAACCAAAGTTGACACCAATGACACTTGTGAAATCGATAAAACTTTAGCATATGTTTCGCTATCAGTTGTACCAATCTAATTTTCCCCAAATTGATCGATTTTGATCCGTATTGCCACGTATTGCGGCGCGTATTTTTGATTTAGTGTTGGTAACGGATCTACGTCATCCATGACGTGTACGCATTGCTTCGTGATCCTGAGTATACCGAGAATATTCTTCACATTCTAAAAGTAGAAAAATATAAAGAGTTATTCACGACAAGTTTACGCCTAAGAAATTTAAGATGCAACCTGAAGTATAAATTTAAAATTAACTGTGATAGTTCATACGATTTTTAAAAAGGTAAAACACAGTTACCTGTTTTGTGTAACAACATTGACGTAGTGTTACCTACTGCGATCTTAAAACTAACAGTTCGGCACAATTGATGCAGAGTGTACTTAAACGACGAAAATTGAAATATGATTTTGGTATATGGAAGGTCCTTTTCGGTTGGATAGAGAACACTAGCCATATAGGAGACGAGCCCTTATTTTGAATTTAGTTGTTTTTGATTTTAACCTTGACGTTTATTTGCAAATTATCAAAACCAAGCAGCTAACTGCGTTTTACTTAAAAAAATAGTGACAGTAAATATTAAAAACCGTTGTGCAATTGTAATGGTGGTTGAAGTGATGAATTGTTAGAATCAGTAGTTGTTCCTTTCTTGTAAAATAATTACACCTAAGTAAACAACTCAAACCTAAATAATTTTTCGATACATACTTACTCGCTTTACTGATTTCTCCTGGTATTCGTCTCGGTGTACAGCAGACTATCAGTTGTGTTTCTTGAAAACCACATACTTGAGGAAATCGAAAATATTGCTTCAAATCTACGCGAGCTTTTTCACAGTTGGCAAACAGTGTACAAGCTCCTTTGGCTCCCGTTGATTTTATGATACATATGTCACCTAAAATATGAAGCAAGCCTAAAGATGCGATTCAACCCAAATGTTTAATACGTTGTTCCAAGGGGGCGCGGCGCGATGAGCACAAATGTGGCCAATATGAAATATATTTAGAACAGATGACCAAGGGGAAAGATTGTGTTTAGCAGTATATCGTAGGCAACACAAACTATAACAGTTATATAACAAAAAACTAACACAGTTATATTCCACATTTATATTGCTGTTATGTTTATCTGACGCAACAAAATTATAACAAAATTGCCGTTACAAAAAATGTAACATTACAGTTATATAGCATCAGTATAATAATGTTATAAAACACTGTTATAATGACGTTATGTTGCAGTTATATAAGAAGGATATAACAAAATTTTGTTGTTATCATTCAACACTGGTAAAGTGAAGCTGGATCACATTAGTGTAACAGTGTTAGAAAATACAGTTATAGTGATGTTATGTTACAATTATATAAGAAAAATATACCAAAATGTGATATAAGACTGTTAAAGTACAGTTACATTACATAAGTATAACAGTATTATACATTATGATGGTAAGGTTATGTTGGAGTTAACATATGAAAGTCATAAAACAAATGTTGTCCTTACATATATAAGCACGAGTAAAAAAAATTAAAAACACACAACGAGATCCATACAGTCCCTCTACCTTGACGTAGAGGGACTACAGGGAGATACATAGATAAATAATACTAGGTACGCAAAATAGAATGCAAAGTCGGCTGTAATGCGTGTCCCAGGTTTGTGTCTAGGCTTATGTACCGGCCACATAATAAGAGATAGCACTGATAGCAGTGAAGTATTTTTTTCCAAAAATTACTTGGCGACAACTTCCACAGCCAATTTTAAGAAACAATAAAAAAACTAATGTCATTTATGATTAGTATAAAAGTGTCATTTGTGTGATTATACGTGATAACAAAGCGTAAAATATGAAACTGTGCAGTGTTTTGAAATGTCTAAACACTAAAATTATTAAACGCCATCGTTTTCCCAACCCCTACAAATACAACGAGCGTTTTAAAATTTGGTTGGAACGGACAGGGAATCCAAATTTAGGCAAATTAGATCCCATGAAAATATATAAAAATGGATATTTTCTTTGCGATGTACATTTTAAAGAAACGGATTCTGGCCCCAATCAAAAACTTAAAAATACTGCTATTCCTACAATTCAAATTATGCATGGTAAATATTTGTGTGCAAGTGAATGCCATAGATAATTTTTACAATAATTTCAGATAATATGAACGACTCCGAAAGACACACCCATGATCCCGTAAACCCTATTTCTATACTGGATTCTCAAAAATTTTGTACTGAAGTATCTCGAAATTCCAGAGAAACCCTAAACGAAACTTTAAACCAAGAATCTTCTCGAATACTAGATTTACATTCAAATTCTTGGAATATTTCGCGTACAGCCCGTAGAAACAAAATTAAGGTAGCTTCGTATCGCCAACGATTGAAATTATACTCCAAATTTGAAGTAAAATTAGAAAGCAAAATTTTAAGTCAGGATGTTATAAATTTTTGTTTATCACAATTAAAAAGACGAAATGTCAAACCAAAGGGTCGCAGGTTTACCACTGAAGATAAATTATTTGCATTAATGTTTTATAAACAGTCTGGGAGATGTTATAGAAAAATGAGACAGATTTTTGCACTGCCTTCACGTCAAACAATTATGTCTATGTTGAACAAAATTCCAGTAGACGTTGGTATAAACAAAATAATTTTCGACAATCTTAAAGAATCTGCTTCAAAATTAAATAACCAAGATAGAATATGTGCATTAATTTTTGATGAAATGTCCATAATTCCCCACATAGACTATGACAAATATACGGATACATTTTTCGGATTTCAAAATTTTGGATTTGAACAAAATTTACAGATAGCAGATCATGTTCTTGTTTTTTTTCATTCGCGGAGTGTTTAAAAAATGGCAACAGCCAATATACTTTGGATTTTCTTTTTCGTCTACAAAATCTTACATATTGACAACTATTATAAAAACTCTGGTTGAAAAAATACAAAATTGTGGATTCAAAATTCTGGTTACAATTTGTGATCAAGGCCAACCAAACCAAGCAGCTATAAATTCTCTGCTAAAGGAGTCGAAACAACGTTATATACATAAAGGGATGGAACCTAAAAGAAGAATTTTATTAGGGGATCAAGAAATTATTCCATTATATGACACGCCTCATTTAATTAAATGTATTAGGAACAATCTGCTTACTAAAAATTTAGTGTGGAAAACAAGCGAGGAAATTTTGGTTGCAAATTGGAAACATATAATCGATGCGTACTACAGTGATCAACCATGTGGAGAATTACGGGCTCTATACAAAATTACGGATCTCCACGTAATTCCGGAAAAAATTCAAAAGATGAAGGTGTGCTATGCGACACAAGTTTTGAGTCACTCAACGGCATCGACTATTACGCTATTGGTTAAATCTAGTAAATACAAATTTAAAAATAATTAACTGATTCATTTACAATTTAATTTTACAGCCGAATGCAGTTTAACACACGAGGCAATGGGAACAGCACGAATTATAAAATTTTTTGACAAGCTCTTCGACAGTGTAAATGGCAGTACTTTTCAACCATGGTGCGGAAAACCATTTTCTGGGGGCGTATTTAAATCTTCTGGTCATAAACATTTTTGGAAGGAAGCTATCAAAATTTTGGGTGATATGTATTTCGTCGATGAGGCCGGCAAAATGGTAGTACCTCCGTGTATAAAAAACTGGATTGCAACGTTAGAAGGTTTTGTGGATTTACATACAATTTTAGTAGAACAGGGCAGGTGCAAATATTTTTTACCTAGATGTTTAAATCAAGATGTTATTGAAAAGTATTTTGGCAAAATCAGAAGTCAAAGAAATCGAGCAACTAATCTAACGGCAGCCCAATTTAAGGAAAGTTTCAAATCTCTATTATTACGCAATTTTTATAGTTCAAATTCAGTGGGCGCAAACTGTGAGAAAACGAACATACCGGATTTATTTCATATTAAAAGACTTGTGGATAAAAACATAAATCAACCTTCAGTAAATGAAACGAGTTACGAAATTTTAAACGTGAATATGTACATTTCAAAACTGTCTCCATATAATTTAGAAAAAGATCTTCATAAAAGTATTGTTGGTTATGTGTCTGGCTGGGTTGCGAAAACATTAAGAAATTTGAAGTGTGAATATTGTAAAACCCAAATTTTAAACAATTTTTCGGAAGACGAACAATGTTACAAATTAATACGTATAAGAGAATACAATTGTAATAACAGAAAATTGCAATATTGTAAGTTAAATTTTATAAAAAACATTAACAGAATTTATAATATTTCAAGAATCGTTTTAAACAATTGTACATCTTTCGACAACATCAAAAACAAAATTTCGTTTATAGTATCTCATCATGTCAAATTTTCGTTTCATTGTGAACATAAGGAATTAATTGAAAGTGAAATATGTAATAAAATTATATATTTAACAATTTTTACGTTTGTAAAAGGTTTGAATTTAATTTTAAGCGGTCGCGATACAAGAGTTTCCACACATAAAAATGCATTATATCAAAATGCTTGTATAATGTACCAAAAAAAAATTAAAGTCAAAAAATCCTAGACAATATTAATAAATTGTATATTATTCTACTCTGTGTTTTTGATATTATTAGTGATAATAAAAATAAAATATTAATTATAAAATATGCAGCAATGACGCATCTAGTAGTTCATGCTTTAGCACCGGCCACAAGGCACCAGGGGGCGTTTATTGGGACCAAAAATCAAGTGGGAGTTTGCATTCTATTTATAAGGAATTCACGTTCGGTAGATGTAACTAGATTTGGTAACTTTTTTTTTAAGCTGTGTAACTGCGGACATAGTTGTTCTAGTGTATAATGTATTACTGGAATGTCAGAAAGTGGGTATCAAAAATGTGACATGTAAGTAAGTAAAGGTCAAATATCGAAAATGTGATGGTTTTGTGGTAATCTGGTGAATCTATTTTTGAACCAAGGAGAAAATCGCATCCCTCTAAAAGCTCAAAGAGCAACCCGCATGTAAAAATTTTGAATCTTTTCCCTTCACTAGGTTTTTTAGGAGGACAAGCTTTGATGTCATCATCATGGATCCACAATTTCACCATGGATCCGTTCTGGTATATCCATATCTCATCCAAGAAAATGAAAAGTAAATCTTCACGACAATCACGCAATTGGAGATAGGTACCGCCTTAGAAATTTGATTCTGGCAGCTATAACGTGTTTAAAATGTGAAAAACTTCGCCTTCGGAAACCTAAATTTATACGTGTATTACGTACAATTATTTTCAAAGCTGAGTGTTTTACCTCTTACAAAACAATAACGATTATATAAAACTTAAAAACCAATTGTAGAACGGAACCAACAAAGCATGTAGGTATATAAATCTGCGCAGTCGTCTTTCTGATTCTGATTATAATATTAACGGCACAAGCGCCGCTGTATCTGTATTATTTTAAAATTCGAAAAACACTCGACAACACTAGCGAACTTTACGGAGAATATTTCTGCCACCAGTTTAACTGTTTCCGTTTTACCCAATTTTTTGAAAACCACGAAATATTTCTTGTTTCTTTTCATTTAAAATGAGCTTTCTCGTGATTACTTTTATGGAAATTGTTTCCATGCTGTATTTAAGGATTTTCTTGAAACGAAGCGTGTTGAAATTAGAAAAACTTCGTTTTTTTTCCACACAATTCAGATTTGACATTTGAATTAGAAAATTAGACAGTTGATGCCAATCTTAAATTTCTAGTGATCTTAAGATTGCAACTTAACCACAGAAAAGTTTCTGTCAGTTACTTCTACCGAACGTGAATGCTTATTACGTAGTATTATTTATCTATGGGGAGATATAACTCTCAGCGCCCTCTTATGGATCCTCGTATCACTCGATTGCAACCGCTGCCTACTTTTACTCCTATCAGGTGGCGCAGCGCATTTACTTCATCACACAATTTTCGCCCAGTACCCTGATAAAGACTACTCAGTCGGTGTCACTGTATGTCATTTGGAACTCAGGACGCAGGTGGAGAAGTGTGTTACGAAGGAACATGGACGGTGTATTTCATATGGTCTTGGACCTCAAGACACTCAAGACAGAAATTCCGCCACAGGCCACAATTTTCAAGCGAAAAACGGGGATCCGTGAAATGATAGTTGAATACAACATTCCAATAAATAGAATCATATCAATCAAGGTACTTTAACCTTAAGCAAAGTTAAGCAATACCTACAATCATGTAATAGACAAGTTATATAGCGAGAATATAATAAAAGTATAACAAAGTTGTGTAAGTGTTATGTCGCTGTTATAGCTGCTTGAAGCGGAAATTGAAGTAGATACGTTGAAATGTTGATGTTATGTTTTTGTTAATTATCCTGTTATATAAATCTCACAGTACAGTTACATTAAAAAAAAATTAACATGTTTAATATGGTTACGTGCCAGTTATGTTACGGCTACATAACATTTGCAGAACGTGGGAGTAACAAAATTATATAACTGTTATATTGTCATTATATTAGTTTGAGGCGGTATTTGTAATATAGACGTTATGTTGCCGTTATTTAACTGTTATAGTTTTTGTGTTTGCTGGGTCCTAGCACTAGTAGTTTATACGTTTTAATTTTGTATTACAAAACGTACTCCGGGACTTACAGGAGATTAAATAAGTTTTGGATGGGACTTTTACCACCCACACGATATTTCTAATAAAAATTGGTCCACATTTTATTTTAATGAATTATACCTTTCAAAAAGAGCAAGTGTTTAGAAAATACAGTGGACATCAATAGTTAGACCAGTAGTCTTGGGAAAGGGTTGTGGGACAAGGTCCAAAAATCCCGCACAGAAGGTGTCTCTCAACAGCATGATAAGCAAAATTGATTAAAAGAAATCTTAAAACAGAAACCATATCAATACATGACCGTTTTCCGGGTTGGAACCATGTAAATTGAGTTTTTGGGCTCAACGTTTCGCACACTTTCGTAAGTGGCGTCTTCAGGAGCAAAGTTAAGAATAAGGCAAAAGAGCACGGTAATTCAGTATGTCAACTCGGATACGCCCATTTAAGTAGGTCAAATCTTCGTGGGAAATGTATGGGCAAAATGGAAGAATCGAATGTCTCAATCGATGTTGATGTAAAATTTAAAAAAATACTTCTTAAAAACTTTCAGTTCTTCTAGACGCAAGTTCAAGTTCAAGTTCCAGAAACTTAGATAAATTGTTTTGAAATATTCAAGAGTTTAGTGACCATGTACTTATCTAGAAACAAAGTGTCTTACACTGTCGTGGCGAATAATTTGATGGTCACTCGTAGCCACGTTTATTTTTGCATGTCATGAGTTAAAAGTGCCATTCCCATGCGATAAGAATGTTATTTTTAAATACTAAATTGTAACAAAATACAAATTTATCGAAGTAAGTTCTCAAATTAAATTAATTAATTTTTCACTATTTCACTGACTTTCACAGGACATATGAAGTCTGGTATAAGTAAACAACGGGCAAAATGCTAGACCGCGTAATCTAAACCTAACTAGTCAAAACAAACATTATGTTCTTTGAGATATCAAGGCAGCCCCGTAGTTAGAAAACTTATTCAGGGGGGGCAAGTTTGTCGACAGAGGGGGCTTCATGTAAATATATATATATATATGTTACAGCTAATATCCGAAATACGTTATTATGCATAATAACTAGACACTTTAGGAATTATGCGTAATAACTAAACTTGTCAGTTATTATGCATAATAACCGGAAAGATTAGGAATTATGCGTAATAACTGAAACTTTCAGTAAATGGGTTTTAAATTGTATAAAATAACATAGTCCTACACATGTAGTTTACGACTCCGAATTGAGTTTTTACCCGAAACGTCCAGATTTTTGGAAAAAAAATCTAAATTATAAAGCAACATTTTGCAATTAAATTTTAAATCTGCAAAACCGAATGCTTTGAAATCTTACAGGTGGTTTACAGTTATGATAAGCATGGTAAATTTTTAGTCAAAATATATTTACTTATCCCCTCCAAAAAATTGATGACGTCAGCTCAAAAGTTTGCCAAATAAATCCTATCTAAAATGTACAAACTATGAAGAGTCTGCACTTGTGATTTATCATTCCATTCATATTTTTTTGATTTGCATAGACAGGGTGACTCAAAAAATTAATGAATGCGTGAATTTATTTTATTGATTTAATCAGGAACTACAAAACAGAATACCTTAAAATCTTGAAGATATTTTAAAGTTATCATAGGCATTGTAAATTTTTAGTCAAAATGTATTTGCTCCTCCCCCTAAAAAATTTATGACGTCACCTGACAATTTTGCTGAATAAATCCTATTTCAAATGTGCAAAATATGATGAGTCTGTATTTGTGATTTATCATTCCATTCATATTTTTTGGATTTGCATATACAAGGTGAATCTAAAAAATTAATGAGTGCGTGAATTTATTTTATTAATTAAACCGATCATTTTGAAATTTTGGAGATGTTTAAAATTTATCATAAGTATGGTAAGATTTTTAATCAAAATATATTTGCTTTCTAAAATTGATGACGTCACCGTAAAATTTTACCGAACAAATCCTATCCTAAATGTATAAAGAATGATGACTCTATACTTGTGATTTATCACTGCATTAATATTTTTTAGATTTGCTTATACGGGGTGTCTCAGTTAATTAATTTTATGGATTAAATCAAGAATTACAAAACTGAATACTTTGAAATACTACATACTTGGCAAATTATTAATCAAAATAAATCTGTTTAATTCCCCCACAAAATTGATGACGTTATCTCAAAATTTTGCCGAATAAATTCTACCCAAAATTATGTCGATTGTAGCTTACTATATAATTGTTTTCATCCTCTGTTTTGAGGAGACGAACTCATTCAAATCAAACTAATTTCTACGTGACATTTTTTCGATGCATAAACATAAACACTTTCAAGTTGTTTTTCTTATCAAGGATAACCTAAGGACGTTCAGTAATGGAGTCCATTGGGCAATTTGTTACTTTCAAATTTTCTCTAACCCCTAGACAAGGCCGTAGCTAGGGGGAGGTTAGGGGATGCTCCCCTAGATCTAGACAAGTTATAATTAACCAAATGTGAATTACAGCATCCAAAAAACCGAATAAAATGTAGTGTTTTATTCAATAAACGAAAATCAGAGCAATAAAAAAGTCTGGTCCGTCGGCATTGTCATCCGGTTATTCCAATTCGTGGAAAACATCTTTTAGTTTAGTTTATGTTTCACCGTCACGTCTATAGGTTAATAAGTGTTATGGCTATTTGTCTTAAATTACAAGTACTATACAGGATGTTCCTTTTATATGTTCACGCCTGACAATTTTTGCATAGGCGACATATTATACACCCCAGAGACGACTTCGTTTTTAATAAGCAATCATAGGAATCACAAAAAAATGACAAAGATGTCAATGGCAAATAATGATAAAATTGAAAAAATTAATACTTACTCAATTTTTATTTTAAAATGTCCCGTTACCAAAATGTAATACGAAAAAAACATAATAGGCATGCAGTCGTCACGTTTCCGACAGCGAGGGAAGTACTGTCTAAACTTTTTAGACCAATTTTTTTTTTAAATCAACTGTACATGTGATATGTAGGGGAAAGGGAGGCAGGGTGGGTAGCTTTTTTGAAAATATTATGCATAATTCCTGTTCCTCTATTAGTTATTATCAGTATTGCCTAAACGTTTCCGTTATTATGCATAATAACTAAAAATTTCAGTTATTACGCATAATTCCTAATCTTTCCGGTTATTATGCATAATAACTGACAAGTTTAGTTATTACGCATAATTCCTAAAATATCTAGTTATTATGCATAATAACGGATTTCGGATATTAGCTGTAACATATATACAGCCTGTTATTGAAAGGTACGTACAAAATAAAATCGGCAATTGGTCTCGAAGTATGGGTGCTAAAAATGAAAAAAAATTCAGGTAAAAGTGTTCTCCTTTTAGACATAAAAATTATTCAAATTTACGTCCAAATTCGTTGTACGCCTCTGATAAAAAGATCATCTTTCGTTTCTATAGCAACATTTAGTCTTCACAATAGTTTTATTGTTACAGTTGCTAGGATTTACTAAAATAAATTAATTTTACCTATTTATCCTTCAGTAGCGTCTAAAAAGGTTGGATAAGGGTTAATTTTCCCCTTATAATTTTGATAACACAAAATAAGTTTTTCCGACTTCTTAGACTTCGCGAAGAACTGTCCATTTTGTTGTACGTACCTTTCAATAACACCCTGTATATATATTTTTCAATAATACACTCAGATAACTGCTTTATTTTTTCATTAAATTAATTGTAAACGTCTATTTTTCCGCTATTAAATTTTCGTAAAAACCTGTCCAAGTCCAAAGAATTGGTACGGTACTTTTCAAAAGCCAGAAAAACCAAGTTTGCCAATCTTTGATGCGTTATTGCGATCTATTCAGAGAATGTAGATTCACAAACAGCTGTACTGCATCTAAAAATTCGTATATATTGCCAAATAACATACCCTGTAAGAAAATAAAGGGTGGGCGGGTGGGGCTAGTAAATATGATTCAGCAATCGGCATTATATTGAAAATTTATTTCTAATTTGAAATTTATAATGTATAACTGTTCCAGGGGGGGCAACCACAACTGCTAGGGGGGGCTCAGCCCCATCTGCCCCCCCCCCCCCCGTAGCTACGGGGCTGTATCAAGTAGTAGAAAAGAGTTACTAAATGCTGTTAATCGAAATGACTATTAGATATAATTATGTAAATAAACAGATGCAGAGCTTTTGCATCTACGTGTTTAAGCCACACTTATGTGTAAATTAATTTTCCTTTTTTTACTTTTGGGTAGGTATTGGTGAACGCTTACCTATCAATTTTTGACAACATACAGCACCGAGGAAAATTGCTGTAAACAGACTTAACACAGTGCGCATATTTATCGCATTGGACGTCGTGCGAGACTAATTTGAGATTTAATAATGTTCCTGATTTGGGTCAAAAAAGCAAGTGGGGGAACCTTACAAGTATTCGACTGATATAAAATTTTGTGGAGATTACTCATTCTTCGACAAACATGTTGTTGTTGGTGTTAATTGTGACTAGTTGATAAATCGCACTGCTTGGTCAAAAAGGTAATTCCGTCTTTACTTCCCGTGCGTAAGCTACTACTTTACAAGAGGACTAGGGTGGATTTTTCTAAATACCATTCCTTCTCTGAATTTCAAAGGGTCGTTTCAAAATATTACATTTATATATCTTCATTATAATTGCAATCTAAATCCCATAGAATTAATTTGGAGTAACGTAAAAAGGGGGATTCGAAAGAATAATACAAATTCTTATAAAGCCGCGCGAAAGTTGTAAATCTTATGTAGATCATGATAAAAAACTGAAAATTACGTTTCGAAAAACCCTCACTGCAAACAGCGAAATTGAAGAGGCTATAGGAGATTTTGATTTTTCTAGTATCGATGAAGCTTATTATAATCCATACATAATTACAGAAACAAAAACAGTGATTTACAGTTTTTAAAAACAAAACAGTGTAATATGCCACATTAGACTTTTTGGATCGTACGTTTGTTGAGTGGTTTATTTGGTTTAAAATAAATAAACTGTTATTTAAGCAGATTTATTTAAACAACTTTTACTGTAAACATCATACATTAGAATATTCATGTCAATATATTGAAATTTATGTCAATATGTGTTATTTTATTAATCTCTACGTCTACAAAACATTGGTACAGGAATCAGTCATATCACTTACAGAGGATAAAAACATCAAAAAAATTAAACAGAAAATATCCTAGGGCCAAACTATATCTTCTATCCATTTGATATAATTTGAAACTCTCACATAGACTCCAGGACTGCCGGCACAGCCTAGTCCAAACGATGTTACACCTATAATGTCGTACATGCACTTTATCTTATCACCACGGTGATATATTTGTAAAGGACCACCAGAATCTCCCTATAAAGAAAGTTGTTTCATATATTTAAATTTACCATGTTACAACACTTAAGCGTCAATTTCAAGTTGGTCATTTGCGCTTACGCAACTCACTGCTGTAACCTTAGATCACATAATATGATAGAATTATTTAATTTTGGCAAGGTGTTGTAAAATGGTATGTTTCTGTCTTCGTCTGACACACTGTATTTAAGTAGGTATCTTCCCCATCCCTAAAATGCTAAGAAGTGCAAGCATTTTTTATCAGTGGAAACACAGTGTGTCGGACGAAGACTGTAACCAAATCGTACTAGGTTCTAGTGGAAGTGATGGTGAAAATGAAAAGAGATTACACAGACAGTTTATGCAAATTTTGAACTTGAAATTGCATGATAATTGTTGATGCAACTAGGGTGCACGGCAGTGTCGCAATGCTGCGTCGCAACCGTGAGTTATGCTACCGCAAATGGCCAACTTAAAATCGACCCTAAATTGTGTGGAAATAAGAAATACTCGGAAACTTCTAATCCAAAGTAGTGGAAAAATCCAGACAGTATAGAGAAAAAAAAGTAAATAACTGATAAATTACCTGACACGTGTCATTGTTGCCCTTCACAGAACCTGCACAAACCTGGAGATTATCTAGAATTCCTTGTGCCACTCTCCTATGGTTCTGATAATATTGGCTACATGTACTTTGATTAAAAAGATCAAGGACTACTTTGAGTAAATCGTTGCTAGTATTACCACCATAAGATGTATAGCCCCATCCTGTTGCAATGGCCCTTTCACTCCTAATTTCTGAGTCTAAATAAAGACACGCTGGTCGCGAGAACGAATTCAGTCTAGCTGCTTTTTCTAATCGTAGCAGTCCAATATCATTATAATGAGAGTCTACCCTGTATTCAGGATGAGGTATCCGCTCAGCTATCTTTATTTCTTGTCTACGATGCGTATCGGTGAGTTTGGTTATACCAAGTCTTACCCATAGCGCATTCCCTCTGTGAAATGTTAAATACTGTATATAGGCCTGCCAGATAAAATTCCGCAGCCTTATAGTTTGATAATGGGTAGATATTTGAAATTCTGTAAACGCACCATTGTTTTTAGCTTGAAGGGAGAAACTTAATTTTGTACATTTTATTTGATGTTTGAGAATTTGTAACGCTTGTTACATTATTAGCCGTAAAGTAATTGGTTCGATTGAACAATGTGAATTAAAATTATGGATAGCAGTAAACATAATGCTAAACAGTTGCCTTGTGTTACCGGCGAACTGCGAAGATTTAAAAAACACTTTTATTAGAACATTTTTTTCTTAATGATATATACTCATCCAGATCAATTTTCAGTTTTTTTTTGTCGGTACATTTCGCAATCACCCTGTATATATAAAATTTATTAAGCAAGTGGATTTTTTCAATTTTTAATAAACAATAAGATTCGCTAATAAATGGTAGAAGGTATCGCAACCTTCTGAAATTACTGAACGAATAGAAAAGGAAAATAAAAATGAAAAATGATACTGCAAACGAAACTTAGCCGTCAGCCGGAGACAGCTCTTTATGTTGGTGGCTGTCTGGGTGCAAGTCATAAATTACTGAAACGCCCAGAACTTTGCATTTTGCACAATCTCGACATCGTATGTGTCAAATGGCCAGGCGAAGACGAAATCGTATTTTTGTAATATCCAAATTAAAAACAAATACACATTATATTAGTATTTTATACATGCTTACTATTGTAATCGTAATTTAATTCTACCAAAATGTGTTAAGAAAATTTATACCTTCAAGCCATAATAACAATGGTGTTTGCAGAATTGCAAAACCTGCATTCCTTTTGAAAATATTATGCCGGGGAGTTTTATCTGAGGCACTAAGTTAGACGAAATAGTCAAAAGTGCCTATTTCTACTTTATTACTTTGCTTAGTGCCCTTTACTTACTTAAATAAAAAGGAAAAATTGTAATCCTGGATTATTTAATTCTAACGGTGATGCTATTGTTATTAAATGTCGTTTTTACTACAAGTTGATACTACGTAGGTACTATTAAAATTGGCATTAATGCCTATTAAACAAAGTTTGATACACTGTGTGTTGCGCACGAAATGTACTTACGCATTAGAATCAGACAGGCAATGTGCGGCTGTTAATACGTATCTTTTGCTTAAAATTGTTCCACCACAAAGCCATTGCATTCCTTCGTCAGATGAATTATAGCCTATAGCTGCCTAAAAAAAACAATAATAAATTTGAAATTTATCCTTGTCTACCAGGCATGAAAAGTACTGCACGTAGATATCTCAAATATTTCAGTGTTCAATTATTTTAGAAATCACGTAAATAAATATTGTATGTAAATTCTTGGGGGAACAAAACGTATTAATTTTGCCGTATTCGCAAAAATGAATGTCCTTGAATTAATCTATAAAATTATGCGTTTAATTAAAAAATCATTGTTTTTGTTGAAAATGACGCTAGAATGGAAAAGAAAATTAATCACTGTAACAAATGAAAGGAAATTTAGAACCGCGAAACACTCACTAGTAATAGGACGTCGAGAATTTATGGAACTAACAAAATTCGGAATTTATTACCATATGTGGAAATTCCTTTCTTCCAGCTGGATCACCGCCCACAATTAATTTGGTTACTTGGTGTCCACATTCGTATTTTTTAACTGGTTTTTGACCAACTAGTGCAGTGGGAGGTACTGATGTTTCATATACATACGCAGAATATTCTTCACATTCTAAAATGAGAAAAATATAGGGTTATTACGAGAAGTTTCACGCCTACAAAATTCAATATGCAAATAGAAATACAAGTTAAAAGTCAATTTTGAAATTTGATACGATTTTTTACAAAGCTAAAACTTAGTTACCTGTTTTGTGTAACAAGATTGACGTAATGTCAGATACTGCCATCTTAAAACTGACACTTCGGAAGAATTAATGCAGAGTGTATTCAGACGATGCAAAGACTGATATGATTGTGATATATGGAGGGTGCTTTACGTCTACATAGAGAACATTATCCACATAGGAGACGAGCTCTTATTTTGAATGTGTTTGGCTTAAAAAAAATAGTGGCAGTAAATATCAAAGACTGCTGTGCAAGTGTATTGGTTGGGTTGAGTTTTAATTTTTTTATGGGTGGAGCTTCTCCTGACTAACCCAATATATAAATACAAGATCATCATAAAATATTGTAGTCAAGGAAGGCGATGACTTTGTTGACATTGTGTGTCGCCTTCCACAGTTTTGTAGAAACAATTATACTAATATTGGAATTTTTATTTTTAACGCCACATTATTGGTTGCACTGTTTCAGCGCCAACGCTTCATCGGATTCTGTTGGATGTCAATAATTTTTTCGTTTTTACTGATTACTGGTGTGTTTTCCCGCACTTCGTGCGTTAATTGACTTGTTGTTTTCAAATGCTGTCTCAAAAAACAGTTTTTATCAAAACTTCAGATCATTGTGGAATAATCTCAGGTAACGAGCATAGAGGAATGACTATGGTCAGTGTTACAAATAACTTTTTTAGGTTAGGATAGGTTATTCTTTGGACCAAAACATCAGAATTTGGAGTACAGAAAATCCTCACGCTTTTGAAGAAACACCATTACATGCAGTGAAGGCTGATGTGTGGTTAGCAGAGGCAGATCTAGACTGTTGGGGGCCTGATGCTATTATTTAATTGCGATTACAAAAACAAAATATAATAAACAAATAGAAACAAATTATCTAACAATTTTCTTTCTGCACTTGATGTCAGCATACGTTCGTATGGCGTCTGTCATACGTAATTGACCTTGTGATGTCATTCTCAATTGCAAGAATCGACAAAGAACTTAGTCTTTCGTTTTTCATTGTCGATCTATATTTATTTTTAATAAAATTCAATTTGGAAAAAGCTCTTTCAGCTTCACAACTGGTCACTGGCAGTATCAAGAAGATCTTAACTACTGTGTACAGATTTGGGAAAATGTGAATGAGATTTTTTTTTAAATACAGTCGAGTATATCTGAAGATGTTACAGTACGTTTCTGAGCTAAGTCAGCAGAAATTTTTAAATTTTTCTTAAATTGTAAATATTCATTCTTCAATCCTAATTCGATGTTCTCATTGTAATACTGTAAAACACAGTCAACGCTGTCTTCGTCAATATGTGGTACATGTTTGTTTGTAACGTACGTTAAGAATTTGAATTTCTTCCCTAATTCATTATATACATCTTTTCTTCTGGTGAGTTTGGTTATTAAAGTGTACAACAATCGATTAAGAACCTCCACGAGAAATTTCTCACGACCTTGTAGTGGACTAGTCCCTGTTGTGCCGTCCGAATATTTATAAATTTTAATCCCATTCTTCGCATTACTATAATTTTCTTCCACTTTACTGCTAAACCCCTTCGCTCGCAATTCATAATTAATTAATTTCTCATTAGATTTTTCTCTAAGAGATTTGATAAATATTTCTAAAGATGTTATTAGTGCAAGGCCTTCGCGCAAATCTAATCCAGGTTCTTGTAACTTTTTACTGACTTTGTTCATTCTTTCAAGAAGTTCTTCCCAGACAACAGTCAATATTCGATTTCGAGTATAAGTATAAGTATAAGTTTATTTTAGCCAAAAGACAAAAAATACATTTTTGTATATGACACGTCAGAATTAACAAACAATAAACAAGTATATAAACTAACTACATTCATACATGTATATTAACATGATCATGGCAATTACAATAACATTTACAACAGAAAATCATCTACGCTGTAACATGCTTTTTCGAGTAATAAAGTTTTTACAGTCCTACAAAACTTCTTAACATTATTGATAGATTTAACATCATCCGGCAAAGCATTAAAAAGCTTAGGCCCAAGATAGTTGGGAGAGCGTCTATATAATTCCAAATTAGGTTTAGCTAAATAAATTCGAGTATTTCTAGTATTGTGTTCATGGATGTTTTTATTTAAGATAAATTTATTACGGTTTTGGAATGTGTAAACCAAAAGAGTTAGAATATAAACTGAGGGTAATGTTAGTATTTTTAATTTTTTAAAATGCGGTTTACAAGAACACGCAGAACCAATAGACACTATATTACGAATAATACGTTTTTGGGCTTTGAAAACTTCATTAGCCGCAGGCGAAGAACCCCATAGTGAAATGCCATAACTAAGGCGCGAATGTACATGCGCATAATAAAAATTTAGTAAGACGTGTAAGTCGACAATGTATTTTAACGTTCGTATTTGATAACATGCTATATTAATTTTTTTGATAACTTGTGTACAATGCATATTCCAATTCAAAACTTCTTCAATACATATTCCTAAAATTTTTGCGTTATTTACAGGTTCTAAGTGCTGGGTACCTATGTTAAGAGCTGTCTTGGCAACTTTTTTTGAGCTGTGTGAAAATAAATGCATTTAGTTTTATCATTTAATAAAAGACCATTAAAAGCAAACCATTTTGATATGTTTTCTAAAAAGATGGTGTTCTGCATGTTATCATTGGGCATTAGGATAGAAGTGTCATCAGCATATAAAACTAGAGTGCAGCCTGTATTATCGGCCAATAAAGGAAGGTCATTGATAAAAAGACTGAATAACACTGGCCCCAGGACTGACCCTTGAGGTACTCCACGAACCACTGGCTTTTTCGATGAAACGAATTTATGATTTCCCATATTAATACATTTCGAGATTTCCACGTATTGATACCTACTGGTAAGATACGAAGAAAACCACATGAGTACATTTCCACGAATTCCGTATGATTCTAATTTAGACAATAGTATGGTATGATTTACGCAATCAAATGCTCTGCTGAGATCACAAAATATCCCAGTAGAGCATTTGCCATTATTAAGATAGGAAACTATTTTGTTGTAGTATGCATTTAACGCAGTGTTTGTTGAAAAGTTTACTCGGAAGCCATGTTGAGAAGTACTTAATATGTCGAAGGTATTGAGATATTTATTTAATCTATCTAATATGCAATATTCCAAAATTTTTGAGAAAACAGACGTCAAAGCAATAGGTCTGTAATTGTGTATATCTTTTTGTGCTCCTTTTTTATAGACGGGTATTACTTTCGAGGTTTTTAGTAAGTCAGGGAATACCCCTAGTTCAACGGATTTATTGATCAAGAAAGTGAGCGGTGCGACAATCGACGCTGCAACACTTTTAAAGACAGATAGTGGTACATCATCAGGACCACAGCTAGTTTTATTTTTTAACTTTTTATAAATAATGATAAGCAACTCCTCCTCAGTTATTGGTATAAACGCCCTACTGGAGCATATATTTCTAATTGTTGGGTTAAAATTTTTAGGTTTATGAATATTATTTACGGAAGCTGTAACTGAATCAATAAAAAAATCATTAAAACTATTTGCTATCTGAGATGGGTTCTTCAAAAGCTCGTTATTGCTAAAAATTTCAATAGGTTTATATTTAGTTTTAGTTGTTTTTGTTATTTACCCAATAACTTTCCAAACCATTTTTGATGAATCCATACTATTATTAATTAGGTTATTGTAATATGTTTTTTTTTTTTTTTTTGTATAGCTTACCCAATATTTTTTTCGCTTTCATCTTGCAGTCATTTTTTTCTAAATTATCATTAATAATAGTTTCTAATATGGTTACAATTAAGCTAGAACTTGTTTTTAACGCGTGAACAGCGTCGTATCGACTAGACCATCTAGTTTGACTCAAACCTTTAACTGAAAGTGGCAGTTTTGCATGTTGATTTAACAAATCCACCGGTGGGGTGAAGCCGAAAAAAATTCTACGAGGTCTATTTTTGACTTTATTTGTTGGGACTGAGATATAGTAAAAATAAAAGTTAGCAACTTCTATGATATACGCTTTTTTAACTGTGTATCGTTTCTAAAAAATAAAATCGACGATATATCTCGTATGATTTCTGGAGTTTTGTAAGCTGAAAACATTGTTGAAAACCGTGTTCTGAAATTTTATTTAATAATTGAGATATTGATTTTTAAAAATACCTTATGCAAAAATTTCACTAAAATTAAAAAAATAATATGATCACAAGCTGTTTTTAACAAAATTGCCCTTGCGTTATATAAAGAAAGTTATGGACAACATATATTTAAAATTTGAAAACTATAGATCTGTTAATAACGGAGATATTACATTTTGAAAATAGAGCGAAAATTCCGCTGAGAAAACGTAGGGACTGGCCTTAATAAGAAAGGAATTTAGAGGTAGGAAAGAAGGAGGTGAGGTGGATATCAAACTAAAATATATAAATGGTATGCCAAAAATTGTTAAAACTGCGTTACTTATTAATAGTAGAAAAAACTGAGTCCAGTCCAACGGTCAGGAAATTTTTATGAACTCAAGGCAACCTATCAAAATGTCCGCGAATTAAACACTAAAACAGACGAATTTTATTTAAATATCCTTAGCAGTGATTATGATCTTGTATTACTTACTGAGACATGGTTGGAGGATAATGTTAAATCCAGTGAATATTTTGGTGATACTTATCAAGTCTTTAGGTCTTCGAATGGTAGAAAAGGGCGTGGCGTACTAACTGCAGTACATCATAGATTTTCTGCAGATGTGTTAAAGAGTGAATTGCCATATCGTGAAATAGACTTATTAGTGTTGAGGATAATATCAAAGGAGTTCAAATTATTGTCATCAATCTTTATTTTCCACCTTCTACATCTTCTGAATTATATGAATTAGTATTCGATCATCTTGAAGTTTTATATGATGGAAATCATCGCCCAACTAAACTTTATAATATATTTTGTTCTTTTCTAGTCTTTTCTCAACTTAATCAGAATAATAGAATACTCAACAGCAAGTCTAGAATTCTTGATGTAATAATTTCCTCTGAAAATATTGTCAATACTATTTCACATAACATTCATCCTCTTGTGGTAGAGGATGGTTATCATCCATCTTTATTAATGACATTTTTTGTTAATTATATCTTCTGTTGCCAAATTAGTACCAGACACTCAAAATTTTATGTATAATTTTCGAAAAGCCGATTTCGTAGGGCTATATCAAGCGATTAATTGTTGGAACTGGGATGATGTTATACTTTCTATCCATGACATAAATGTTGCATGTATTTGTTTTAATAATGTTATCTTACAGCTTTTCGATACTTATGTTCCTAAATATAGGAAAACTAACAAGACATATTCACTCTGGTTTACTCTTAACATCATTAAGTTATTAAAAGATAAAGAACGTCATTGGAGAAGGGAATCGGGCCTTTTGTCTCAGAAAGAAAAAACTAAAAAACTGGAGTATGAAATTAAAATTCTAATCAAGCAGGAGTTCGCAAAGTTCATTACGTCCTCGGAAATTGAAGTCAGATCTGATCCTTGTAAATTTTAGTCGTATATCAATGCAAAAAAGAATACATCAAGGATTCATGGTATAATAGAAGTGGAAGATTGTGCATTGTCCAATCCACAGTCTGTTGTTAATGGGTTTGCAAAACATTTTTCCAATGTTTTCAAAAGTGAAGAAGTTTTTGTTTCATCGAGTCGTGATAATAACTGCTGTGATGAAATTTCCTGTTCTTACAACTGTGAGTTTTCTTGGCTGTGATTTTAATGCACCAGTTTTACATAATTTTAACATTAGTGAGCGTGATATTAGTAATGCTAGTCGTAAACTGAAATCTAATTTTACTATGGGTACTGATAATACACCAGCGTTTTTCGTCCGTGATTGTATTTCATGTATTTTAAGTCCCTTGTGTCATTTATTCAATTTAATAATTAAGTCATCGAAATTTCCTGATCTCTGGAAAATAGCAAAGGTTTGTCCAGTTTTCAAATCAGGATCTAAATCAGATATTAAGAACTACAGAGCGGTAGCTGTTATACCAAATTTTGCCAAATTATTTGAGACCATTTTGTGTAATGTCGTGTATAATCATGTTGAGCATCAGATCTCCCATACTCAACATGGATTTGGAAAAGGTAGATCAACATGTACAAATCTCTGTGAATTCACGCAGTTTGTTTCGAGCTCGTTAGATATTATACAGCAAGTTGACGTTATTTACACAGATCTGTCAAAAGCTTTTGACAAAGTTAATCATAACACTATGTTGCGTAAATTAAGCTCGGTTGGTCTGTGTGATAATTTAGTTATGTTGTTCAAGTCTATACTTTTAGGTCAAAAACAATATGTATTATTCCTTTGTAAGATCTCTATTAGAATATTGTTCGGTTATTTGGAATCCCTACTATAATATACATATAACGACTATAGAACGAGTACAACGTAAGCTTTGTAAATATGTCTATTTTAAAAAGCATGGATTTCATCCAGTCCAAAATTATTCACAGGATGTATTACTTAGGGAATTGAATGTAGTCTCACTTTGTAGACGTAGAGATTATTATTCTCTTATGTTCTTATATAAAATCTTACATAATGTGATACAAGATAGTGAGTTATTATCTCAAATTTGCATATTAGTTTCTGAAGCTAATGTTAGAAATCCGATGATATTTCACATTGATTTTGTTAATTCGAATCAGCATTTTCATTCACCTGTACCTTATATGCTTCGACTATATAATAAGTACAGACTGTATTTAGACATTTTCGGGATGAGTTCAAATGAATTCTGCATGCAGTGTAAAAAAATATGTTTTAGTTAAGGTGTATCAAGTTTATTTCTGCGTTTTTGAACGTCTACTCGCTATGGCTTTACTGTATTTGTGTTTATTTTAAGTAATCATGTTATATGTTTTTGTACTATTTTTTCCTTTTAGGGCTTCTGCCCGTTGGACATTAAATTCTTATTATTATTATTATTATTATAACTTCCATTTTCACCAGTTGAGTTATTTGAACTGGAACTAGAAGGTTGAGGTGTAAAAAAACTTGTGACTTTTCGACATTTTGCTAGTTCCTGTTCATGTTGAAGCTTAAGTTTCCTCTTTTGGCTTCCACTGAGGTATTTGCGCTCAGACATTTTATTTAATCAAATACCTAATGAATAAGTTGTATTATTAATATTTAACAAAACGAAAATAATTATCTAAATACCTTAAACATTGTTGATTCCAAAAATGATAATATATAATTCGACGCAAACTGAATTATGGAATTTTTAATTTTTAACACACTGTAATATTCGCAGAGCAATACACTTTTAAACTTACTGAACGAACAGAAATGAATGAGAGAGTGAAAACAAAACGTTTTGTAAAACACTGCACCCATCTGTATCGGGAACTCTTTAATGGTATCCCAGATGTAGGTGGCTGCCATAAATTAACGGAAAGGGCGGAAGTGACCAGATTTGCAAACGGTCAGCCGAAGACGAAATTGTATTTTTGTAAGAACTAAATTAGAAACAAATTTTATTTTTTTTACATTTAAGCCGAAGTGGTCCCCTTACCTTCGGGGGCCTGATGCACCAGCATCATAAGCATCCCTATAGATCCGCCTCTGGTCCGAGCATACCTTGTAAACCTCTAAATACCTTGGTAGCGTTTACAGATGCTCGATAACACTGCAACCCCTAATGCTGCTGGAGGAATTATACTCGCTTATACCTGTAAAATTGACTAGTATTTTAACGTATACGTTCAAACAAAGTATGCCATTTTGGTTGGAATAGATTCGTTGATTATGTTAATGAATATGTTAACTTTTGAAAGAGTACAGCCGAGAGTTGACTTCTGGTTAAATAAAAAATTTGTGTTCATGTGAAGTGAACAAGTATACCTACGACTGCTATGTCTTGGTAGACTTAAAAAGAAATGGAAGAAATAAAAAAAAAACAAACATTTACTTAAGCATTTTAAGGTTTGTTAAGGAATGTTTTATATTTTTTTTACCAAACATAATAGGTAAGTACAATATAAAAAACATGTTGATGAAGATGCCGCCAGCTACGTGGGCAAAAATTAAACAACTTTTGTTAACTTATGCGATTTGGGTGGTAATTATACTGATTTTACAATGAACTGTTGAATGTAATTAACACGATCTACATAATAAAATATTAGAGAGTATTTTTTTTATTCGAAAACCTATGAAGTGCATAAAACATGACACATGGCGTTCGAGGTAACTAATGCATAACGAATTCTAAAAAAAATGCATATAATTATACGTATCAGAAAAATCTGTGCATATTTTAGCATCTCATAGTGCATATATACCTATGCGTTTATCTAAACAAAATTTTGTGCATGTAAATTCGCGGTTTGCTCGTTACTTATTAGATTAGAATTCCAGTAGTTTACGTAGAAAACACACTAGTTTTCTGATTTCCATATATAATGTGAGGAAATAACGCGGTCAAAACTTCCATCATTCTGTGGCTCATATTAACCATTCAAAATATATTCACCGGCAAAAAACCGGCCGCCTTAAAATATTCCACTGTTTCTGTTAGTTTCTTAAATTTAATTTAATTCTGTATTAAATTTGTTTGTCTTTTTTATTTAGTAGCTAATTTCTACATCTTGCGACAATAGTGAATAGTTCTTTAATAAAATAACTATCACTAGTTAAATTAATAATTTTTGTATAATATCAAAACATACTTTTTGATACACGTTGCTCTTAAAATTTCCTATTTGTATAGCTGAAGTTATTTATTTTTATATACTTATGTTTTTTCATCAAAGAGACAAAAACCATTTAGGCAAGACGATCTTATGGATTTTTTCAGCAATCAAATTTTCTCTATAAAATTTTACGCAAAGAGACGTATATATAATATTTGAAGTGATAAATTGTTACAACCTGTAGTTGTTTCGTTTTTGTAAAATACTACTCTACTACTAAATTAAACCACAGAAACCTAAATAATTTTTTGATACATACTTACTCCTTTTACTGATTTCTCCTGGTATTCGACCACCCGGTGTTTCTGGTGTCTTGCGTGTCACACTTTGATTCTGTGGACAGCAGACTATCGTTGTTGTGTTTTGAAAACCACATACTTGAGGAAATCGATTAAACTGACTTAGATCTTCGCGAGCTTTTTCACAGTCGGCAAACACTCTACAAACTCCTTTGGCTCCAGTTGATTGTATGGTACATAAGTCCCCTAAAATATCAAGCAAGCTTAGAGATGTGAATAACCCCAAATTTTTAATATATGTATTTATAACAGATTAAATTTATATTTATCAAGATACTCCTGTACTTACACGAAAATGTTTTTTTTATAAAACTGAAATACTATTTACTTATTAAAATGTTGAGGTGACAACACCAAATAATTGTTGGGAATGGTTAGGCAAATTTTAGTTAGAGTTTTATCATCCATACGATACTCCTAAAATACATACAAAATTTGACAACAATCGGTCAATTGTTTCGAAGATTATCTGTCTAATAAAAATTAACACCGTTTAAAACGTACAAATTTGAGCGTACATCATTTATAAAGTACGACGTTCAAAATGTATAAAAAAGGGCGTCGGTCGTTCATAAAGTATGGCGTGCTGCTAATGTAAGTATTATAGCAAATTTTATAAAAGTTAAAAAAATTGTCGTGCAAAAGTGACGTCATTGCATTTTTAGTGGGGACGATTAAACAAATTTTGGATGGCGTGTTATTATCTACACGATATGTCTAAATAATATAAAAATGAAGCAATGTTTAAAAAATCCGCCTCATTCTTGCTAACGAGAACTAATAAAACAAAGATTATTCTATCGTACTGAATTTTATAAAATAATGAGGTACGGAATAAATCGGGAAAAGAACTTGATCAAAAGCTTACGTTAATTTATATAATTATATTAATTAGTGAGCGATATGCTGATATGGCATATTAACTTGACCTCATATCACAATTCCTAGTAGATTGATTAATGGTAATTTAACGTCTACTAAGTATTATATTTATAACGTATGATTTTTGGGATGTGTTAATTGAAACAAATATACATCAGAAAATGTGGTTTGTAAAAGGAGTACTGCCTCATTTTGGACGCCAAATGAGTCAATATTTAACCAGATAAAAAATGAATGGGCAAAATGGAAGAATCGAATAGCCCAATCGATGTAAAATTTAAAACAATATTTTTTAAAAACGTTCAGTTCTTCTAAACTCATGTTCAGGTTTCAGAAACTTATAGGTAAACTGTTTTGAAATATTCAAGTGTTTAGCGGCCATGTACTTACGTAGAAACAATTGTCTTATATTGTCGGGGCGGATAATTTGTTGTTAATTCGTAGCTACGTTTATTTTTGCATGCAACGAGTTAAAATTGCCATTCTCATGCGATAAGTGTTATTATCTTTAAATACTAATTTGTAACAAAATGCAAATTTATTATGGCAAGGTTTCAAATGCGCCATTTTTCAATATCCTGTTGATTTTCACTAGTTATATAGACATATGAAGTCTGGTATAAATAAAAAAGTGTCGTCTAAACCTAACTAGTCAAAACAAATATTATATTCTTTGAGATATGAAGAAGAAAACAATCACTAAATGCACTTAATCGAAGTCGTGGCTATTATAGATATAATTATGTAAATACATGCAGCATGTACGTATTTAAGTCATATTTATGTGTACATTAATTTTCCTCTTTTGACTTTGGGGTAGGTATTGATGAGCGCTTACCTATAATTTTTTGACAAAATACAGTTCCGAGAAAAATTGCTGTAAACAGACTTAACACAGTGCGCATCATTATCGCATCGGACGTCGTGCGAGACTAATTCGGGATTTAACAATGTTTTTGATTTGCATGAAGAACGCAAGTGGGGGAATCTTACAAATAGTCGACTGTTATGAAATTTTGTGGAGGTTACTCATTCTTCGACAAACATGTTGTTAACTGTGACTTGTTAATAAATCGCGCTGCTTGGTCAAAAAGGTGATCACGTTTTTACTTCCCGAGTTGCACTTACGGTCACTGACATTCGCGCCGAGTGACGCAATTTTCACCCCCAACGAGAAAGACTAGTGATAGTGCGGAGACCCGCAATTCCCTTAACTCGGACGGACCTCCCAAAGAGGGTTATTCGATACTGGACTTGTATTTACTTACTCGTATGAATAAAATTTTTGTTGTATAACTCTACCCCTTCTTAGTTAAGTTTGAACGAAAATCTAGATCAGGTTAATGAAAAGTACAAAGATTCTAGGTTGTGACGTTTTTTATACTTAATTAGGTCTTTTTACTCAAGTAATTCAAATGAAATATTTATTAGAAAATGTCATTAGTCTAATTACACTGTAGAGTGATTTCTAATAATTAAATTCGCTGTTTTCTACATTGATTAATTTATGAAGAAGATTATTCTCTCCTTGACCGCTAAATTTTTAACCACGCAGAGGTCGAATAATCATAGTGAAATTACCCAAAAGATAAAATGTGTAATGAAGTGATGAGGTAATGATTGTTATTTCTCTATATGTGTTGCAACACACATCTAAAAATTGACAATTTTACTATAAATAAATGAATAAATACTTAAATAAAATAATTAATTATTCAATAAATAAAGTTTATTCGCCACTTTTGGTATCTAATTTTAACGTCTTTTACGACCACAATTGCAGCTAATTGTAGAATTTCGTCCACTAGGATTTTAATTTTTTCTTAAAACTCGTAATTTGGCGTTCGAAATTTTGTGCGTACGAATGTGGTCGAGAATTAAAATAATAGATAACATTCGCATGCGCAACTTATTCGAATAACTTCAAGAATTGATCCCCAGAATTTAAAGTTGGCGGTTATGACATCCATATGACGTCACACAAAGTGCGCAATATCATTCCATGCCAAGTTGATATACTTGTCTTTGTTTTTTCTTGCACTGGTAATACGTTGCTACTACTTTTCTTTTGTGCTGTGACTAGTATTATACATGTTGATGACGTCGTCACAAATTTTTTATTGGTGAAATTAGGAACGAGTCACCCCATTTTTTTGAAAATGTGAAGAATACGCACGTCTTTATTGTAAAATAATGATAAAATAATAATTACTCCTATAATATTCAGAACATTTTGTTCGCTTGCGGTTTAATTAATAATTTCAGTCCTGTATTTTGGGACGACAAACTCATTGAAATTAAACTAATTACTACGTGACATTCTTTCGATGTATAAACATAAACAATTGGGCGTCAGATTGTTATTACCTAGTGGTGAAAGACAAGGGTTGTTAGAAATGGATTATTTTAAGTATACATGGTGAGTCACCAGAATCTAACAACGGACTGTCAGTCAGTAGCGTAACATGCACACTTCAGAATGGGGTCGTTTTTAAATGTATTTTTTTAAATCGCAAATAATAACACGCGGAAACATAAACTTAAGTGAACTGGTCAACAAGCGGATGAATCTATTAGGCACTAATCTAAACAAGTATTATGACAGAGAAACGATGACGGAATGTTTCACTGTACTTCCGGAGCAAGGGAAGTTCTGTCGAAACAACTTTCGACCAATTTTTTTCTTTATGATAAGTCTTTCTATCTCTAGTTTTCTCTCTTGAGTTACTAACTGATAAACAAATACCTACTTGAAGTGTTACCAATGTCGTTATGTTATTGTATTCTTATCATTGAAATATTCTTGTATCTAATCAAAAGTATTCATCGTTTTTGAATGTGTTATTCGTTTTTGAACGTTCAAATCTAGAATTAAGGTATTGTCAGGTTGGCCGAGCGGTCTAAGGCGCCAGATTTAAGCTCTGGTTCTCGAGAGAGAGCGTGGGTTCGAACCCCACACCTGGCAGTTTTTTTTCTGCGTACTTTATTTAATCTTATCAATAATAACAAAATGATTCGTTCATAAGAGCAGCAACGGTTGTGTAATTAGAATATAATAGGAAATATACCGTCTTATTTTAGTCATCAATTTTTTATATATCTCCATCTTTAAATATGGTGGAGTTGAGAATTTTTAAATATAACCATTTTTACTTCCCAAGCATAACCTAAGGAAGTATGTAATAGGGCTACTCCTAGAATTTGTAAAAAATAGGCCCCACGTTTTCGTGTTTCTGTCTGAGACTTTCATCACCCCCAACAAGACAAACAAAAACAAAAATGAGAATGTAATATGAAAAGTTGAACAATTCTGGGGTAGAATTGTGGGAGTGAGTAAAAAACCAATAAAGCTTAATACTGATTTTATTCAAAACAACCTAACTTATTTATACAAAAATAACCATCTGTACAAAAGTTTTAACTGAGAAGAAATTAACATATTTTGACAAATGCAGACGATGAGAAATATTTATTAATCAAAGTAAGTTTAATTTTGTAGATTGCTCTTCTCATTGGCGTGTGTGGTGCAAGCAGGCGTGAAGAGCTACATTCACTAAAAATTTAAGATATTGTCCAAAAAGACGACAAAGAATGTCTTATTCTAACAATCCTCGATACGAACAGCAACATTAAGAGAATCTTTCACGTGATAGCTGAACACAAAGCTGTCAATGGTGTGGAATTATACCAAAAGTGTATTCTATTACGACAGTTGAACACTTGAAGGAATTCATTCTTTTGCAAAAATGCCCGCTCTTGTTGCTGAATTTCTTACACTACCTAACCCGAGAGAATATACAGGACATTGCTTCCGGTGAAGTTCTGCGTCTCTAGCGGCAGATAAGGACGCTGATGTAATCTCCTTGAAACGGCTAGGAAGATGGAAGTAAGTTTTTCGCAGTATTTTTGTTTTTTTTTTCTAAATATTATTGGTTAGTAGGTATCAAGAGAAATTAGCATGATTCCTTCAAGTTAGAGTATTTCCTTTGGGGATAACAGGTTCCAAGGTGCTCAAAACTATTCGTTAAATTTTCATTTTGGGAAAGAAGTATTTAATAATCATTATCAGTGTCACTGTCAAAAAATTGGAAAGAAAGCCATAGCAAAAATAAGTGTACATGAATTTATATTTTTCAATTTCAGAACAACTCGTGAATAAAATTGCGTCAAAAATTAGGTGTTGCTAAAACAAAAGTTGGTAACAGATATTAATAAGTAGTTACGAATAATATATATGAACAATGAAAGATAAACAAATTAGACAAGAGATGATTTATCTAATCTGATGTTAACGTTTATCGAAATGAAAACATGATTTTTATTTATAGCACACTGCGTTGTTTAAAAGTGAGTGGCGATAGGTTGTAAGTAATGTCAGGATGGCCGAGCGGTCTAAGGCGCCAGACTCAAGGTTTCCTTGCCCGAAAATCAGGTTAAATGAGCGTTCTGGTCCACTCTGTGGGCGTGGGTTCGAATCCCACTTCTGACATAATCTTTTTTTTAATTTTTTTTTTTACTTTAATTATATTATCCTCAAAGTACTATATTTTGCAAGATAATAATAATCATATTTAAACAGGTTTTATCTTGCACAATAACTAACTTACTAACTCATCATATCTTGCACATTTATTTTATTATTTATTCGGCCAAATTTTAAGGTGACGTCATCAATTTTTGGAAGTGATAAGCAAATATATTTTGATAAAATTTTTTTGTATACGTATCATAACTTTAAAAGATATGCAAGACGTTTTGGGTAAAAACTCAACCGCGAATCATAAACTGCATCTACAGGACTATGTTATTTAATACATTTTAAAACCCATTTACCATGTACAATTTTGAAGTGACGTCATCACATTATGATGATTAGGCAAATTTTGGTCAACGTTTTATATACATGATATTCCTAATATAAGTGCAAAATTTGATAATAATCGGCTCAGTACATTCAGATAATATCTCTCTAATGAAAAAATTGGGACAGACGGGTAGACGGACAGACGGGCAGACGGACAAACAGACAGACAGACCGACTTACGGAAACGGGTGACTATTTCTTCGTATTGTAGGGATCATGACAGGTTGAGAAAACGTAGAAGTAGAGATTCGACCGAATATCGCCACTTTGCCGACTGAGTCACGAGGAGCTCCATTTCGTGGTGGTAATAAAACGTCATTATATCGTGCATTTTTTTCGCAAAAATTTGAGCTTTTGGCGAAAAAGCATAACGCGAATTCCTATACTACAAATAGATGTAATACGCTTCATTGAGATAATGTCATCAACAATCGGGCCAGCAGTTTCGGAGATTACGTGTCTAATAAAACTGTATACCGACAGACAGACAGACAGTCAGACAGAGAGACGGAAACGGGAAACAACTTTTTTCGTATTGTAGGGTTCATGAAACGCCGAGAAAACATAAAAGTGGCAATTTTTCTAGTGGACTCAATTACTATATTTGCTTAGCTTGCGCTCGGGAACTAAAAATGTACATTATCAAAATCAGTAGTGTTTGGTTATATTGCTGTTAACAAACTAAGACAAAATTTTGAAAAGTTTTTGAAATATGACGTGCTAAAAAACTAAAAGACGCAGTTCTTCTGTCATATAAAAGCCAACCCAAACTGGAACGGAGAATAGACGAGGAATTGTTTGTTGCCTAAAGACATTTCTCTTTGATACGTCTCTCTCTTTTTCGTTTTCTAGCTCTCTTTCATTTTGAGTTGCTAAGTGATTATATTCTTATCAGTTATAATCAACGCGCGGAATTGTGTTTCATACGCTAGATCCAGTGCTGTCGCGGCGATACTTTGATTACAAATATATTTTTCTTTTGGACTATATCAACTTAATATAACATTTCAAGATCACAGATCTGTGGTCCTGTGTTTGAAAAATTAAAAAGGGCATCGAGTATTTTTATTTGAAGTAATATA